CCGGCAGCTCTTCCTCAGGGCGCCGCGGGCCGATGCGTGTCGGTCAGGGGCACCGCAGCGAGCTTTCCGTTCAGGGATTCCTCCGCCTTGGCGTGCCTGTGGTTTGGGCAGCGACCGGCGCGTATTCTCAAAATCCCGAAGTTTCGGTGTGTATTTATGGAGCTTGGCTTCCGTCTGGAAGGGGTGTTGGTATGCCAGCCCCGACCGTGTCGATAAGTGGATTACTTTATCTGTGACATGCTGTGGGAATCAAACGTGGTGATGCTCAGGATGCGCTTTGTGAAGTGAAAGCTACAAAGTTGTGTCCCTAACGGCAGCGCTGGGCCCCCTCCTTGGTCCGAGCCTTTAACTGATCTGCCTCAGCAGGAGTGCTTGGAGTTAGTGGGCAGTGATGGTCTTCAGGTATGTTGTGAAAGAACATCGTGAAAATCAAAGTATGTTTCTGTAATCAACAGGTGCTGTCTTCTGGAAGGCTGACAGGAGCAGCGAAATTAACAAATGGAAGAAAACAGTAAGGCTTGAATTGTGCATACTGTCCAAGACTGAGTGTACATGTGAGCGTTTGGGCACCTGATCCTTGTCATACCTCACCACTAGCCAGAAATTATTAATAAATATCAGAAAACACCTTTAGCTAAAACGCAGTACGGCCATATTCTAAGCAGCCCATGAATAGACAGACACAAACTGCATAGCAGTTATGCCTGTAGAAATACAGGGTTGACTCTCTCTGCATGTTTTATTTATAAAATATTAAATTTGTATGTTACTAGCCGTAGAAAAAACTGTTAAGAGTGGATTCTCCTTTGATGTAAGCTATCGATATCTGCTCAACATATTTGTTGCAGCAATGCAAAGTTTTCAGAAAGAGAAAGGTACTTTGTTTCTTGATAAAATTAATTTACTTTAGTTTGCTATTATTGAATAAAAGTGAATTTTCTGCTTTGCTGCATATTAAGGAGGTAATATAAACAGTGAATTTGACTTTTTCAGGGTTGGCTTAAGAAAAGGACATCACTCTGATGTGGAGTCTGGATACTCTCTCTATTCCACTGACTCTGATGATCAGGTAATTAAGTGACTTTTTAATACAATCATTTCTGTTATCTAAAGAGAAGGGAAATTAGAATATCTTGAGTAATAGAAGAAGAACAGGTTAATTTAGACACTGCTGCATCTGGACTAGAAATAGCTCCTGCAAAGCTGGCGAGAGTTTCTATACTGCACCTTGCAGCTGCATGCAAGTTGGCTTTGTGGGCACTGGGTTAAGGTCTGACAAATCTCGTTAAGGGCGGGTTTGTGCCAAAGAGTGAGTTGTGTGGAGTCAGTGCTGTTTTCTCTGTGTGCTCATCAATTATGCCCAAAATAGAAATACACTGTAGATAATAGCTTAACTGTGCGTGGAAATAAGAATAAAAACAACACACATGCAACTACCAAAACATAAAATCCAGCAAATGGTCACGTGTGCAACAACACAATTTAGGGTTTTTTTCAAAATTTGCCTGTTTACAAACTTCTGTGTAGTTGCAAAGTACTACATGGAAAATGACATGCTTTTGCTGGTTATCAGTTGTTCTTTTTCAGGTGATGGAGTGGGGAACGCTCACCTCTAAAATAGTATCTTGGTTTACTGAAAGGAAGCAGTGATACGCATTTCCTGACTGCAGTATTCTTTGTGCAGGTTGATACTATTCATAATGGACTTGACCGTTGTGCAGCTTTGCTGAAGAGTATCTTACAAAATGAGGCTACAGGTTGTACCCATTGAAAATTTAAGTTATGTTTCTACTTTTTGTAAGACTGCTTTGATTTATTTTGTTGACTAGTTTTTGTTTTGACTCATACTAGGAAGGGAGACTACCCATAAACAACCAGGGAAAACAACATCTGTTAAAAATACTTCTAAGCCTTTGTTAATCAAAGGAAATACTTCCAAGAAGAAAGGGTTGAAAAAACACACTGCTTCTGCCCACATCCGAAAGGAAATTGGTAAGTGGGCTTTCTCGGGCTTGTTTTTTCTGAAACAACGTGGAGAGACTCCTCAACTTATTGAGGAGATGTAACAAAGCTTTAGGTAATTGTTGCAGTTTGTTATAGGTTGATCCAGGGCTGGATGCACAAAAGGATGTAGGCATTACTCATTGCCTTTCTGCTAAACAGTTACTAAAATTCACAAACGCGCCAGCTTCACGTACGAGGAAGAAAGCTGAGTGTGTTTACAAATGCCAACATCATCGAGTTTAGCTGGTAGGAAGCATGGAGGAGAGTGATAATACTCAAGCTCCATTTCTCATGGACAGTGAAGCATTACAGTGCTTGGTCTCTGTTTGGGATACACAACTAAAAACTGTCCTGGCATTAGGTGTCGAGCCAGGGTTTTCTCAAAGATCAGTTTCTGGAATCAGGGAAGTGCAGCAATACATAGTAACTCAAATGGTTTAGTGGCCAGAGCACTTGAATAGAAGGTAGATGGAGTGCTCTAGGCCGATTTGCGCTCGGTTGAAATATTTCACTTTTTATGAGCGTTTCTCTCTCTCTGTCCACCCCGTTTCTTTTGTGTGATTTCTAATCCAGTAGACAGGTGAGGCCTGTAGACTAGGTACGTAGCAGAATGCCTATTTTGGGAATTGTAGAAGGTGAGCACATAGCTGATATCTTTTCAGCACTGTAAAAATACAGAGTTTTAATTATACCAAGCATAAGAAAATTAGGTTTGGAGAGTGCTTTGGATGGGTCATTCCAAATGGCCTAAAAGCTTAGGAAGCAGCTGAGCAGAGATTTTAAGAATTGCAGTTTAGAACTGGCCTTCTCCTTCTATAGGATTAAATCTCTCTGCTTCCTTCAAGGAGAGCAGTCTGTCCAACTGGGTTAGGTTGCTCTGTCTGAAAGAAAAAAATAATGGATTAGTTTGCTGGTGAGTAAAAATCTGACTGGAATCGTAAGCCATAGGGTCTTTCGGTTTTCTTTTTCAAAGGAATCTGCCAGAGTCTGCCTGACGACACAATGAATTTGTGTAGATCAAGAAGACATGACAACTTCAGCTGGGTTTTTTCTTCATTCTTTCTCCATAGTGCCAATATTAAATAGAAAACTTGCCTCGTCTACCACGCCTTCTACTGAGAAAGAACTTCCCAGTGCAGCACAGAGTCAAATGGTTCAACCAATTCACGTGCCTTGCAGCCAACACTCTCCTGTGATACATCAGAAACTGTGCGAGCATGTGCGCACACAGATGTCTTTGATAACTGGCCAGCCACCACAGAACAGTCACGAAATTCCTACTGTAACCCCTTTTCCTACCTCAAATCACGGTTAGTGGAACCGTTAATTTAGAGCCTGCTATTTTACTGTATGAGTTTTGCCTGAATTTGTCCTGATCTATGAGTGTTGATTTCTTTTAGGATGTCAAAATATTGCAGCTTTTAATTATCAATTACCTACCTCCACATCAGCTCTGACCCTGCAGCACTCAGCTAATCCCTTATCTACTCAGTCAGTAAGTAAAAGTTTGATTTTGACTATTAATAAATGTTTTAAATTAGCACTGCCTGTTTATTTATACGTTTATTTAAGTGGGGGGTTTTCTTGTGATTCTGTAATAATTTTCCTTAAAGAAAAAAATTTGCATATTTCAACCTATAGTGATGAACAGAATAAATAAATAATTAGAGAGAATACTGCTATTTAACATACATGTTATATAGGCACCAAAAAGTGAAGTTAGAGGCCCTTCAACTGGCTGCTTGTTTCTGCATGGTGAATTCTGTAATGGACAGAAAACATGGAAGATGCAGGAGATCATTCATTACTGTTAATAATTGCACTCTCAATAATGCACATCAGGGTCATAAACCAACTCTGGATAAAACAAATCGTATCTCATATGTAGCTTCTCCCTGCTAATGGTCCAGTTGATTATTTCTTCAGACACTGTGTATTATCTTAGAGCCAAATTTTAAAATACTTGTGTATTTCAGGATATAGAATAGAATTAATGGAGAGTACCAACTGCCACCTTGGGAAATGTGGTAAAGGGCTTGCACCTTGAAACTGTAAGACTGTAGACTTACCTTCCATCTGCAGGCAGTCCATGTGTAGTTAGTGCTGTCCTTGACTTTTAAGAAGTTCATCTACTTAAAATATTGAAAGGTGATAGCATTGTGGGGTTTTTTTTATTCCCTGTTCTGGTTTGATTCAAGGAATGATTGTTCATAAAGGAAAAAGACAAAAACAAAACACTGCTCAGGTTTTTTCTTTACACAACAGCTGAAAAAGGACTGTGCTTTAATGTTGCCAATAACACTTAAGATGCAGGCAATCTAAATGAGTTTTACATTTTAATTGCTCCTTAATATACTGGAAAACTAGGCAATTAATGAGTTGTAGTTGCTTTTATAATTTGCAAAGAATGATCAAGACTACATTGAGTCAGACAAGGGTTTTGTGGGTATTTTAAGATTTTTTAAAAAATCATGCTAATTTAATATGAATATGCTTTTTGCAGGATGTTCGTGTAGACAGTGGCAATGAACGTGTGCCAGAGATGGGAGGACCTGTGGTTTGCCCGGTGGTTTCTGCTGCTCCTACTCCTGCTGCGC